CAGACATAAATTCCGCGAATTGAAGGTGACTGGCTTGTAGGGAGGGCAAGCCACTAACCCCAGCCAGCTGTTAATTTCATATAAAAAATCAAACATGAATTTAAGAGGCGCTCGCTGAGGAAAACCATCAGCTGCCACACATGCCACTCTTTTTAAATTCAACCTTGGCCAAAAAACTCACTGCTGAACTTCGGGTCAAAAGCTTGCAACGGAGATCATCGACAGTTTTCTGCTCAGGGAAAGCCGATAAAATGCTACCGATCTCCGTCTCAGTGACAAAAGCCAGCAGCTCGGACGCAGTCCGCTGTTTCGCCTGTGCTTTTGTCAAAGCTGCAAAGAACTGATGCGAATCACTCAGCAGTTTCCACTTGCTATCAGGGTCTGCCATGCGAGCGACAACTAGAGCAGCCAGCCCCGGGAAGTCCGACTGGAAGCCACTGGAGCAAAAGACAGACCTGCGAATGCTCATGGTATTGATGTACTTCACAGCCGGTCCGTTCCCACTGCAGAATGCCTGCGCACTCAAGAGAAAAGAGCCACTCAGAAAAGCATTCCAAAGAAGTTCCTCGGGCGGATGGACAATGTCATTGACGACAAAAATTTCGGCCTTCAGAGGAGAAGACTCAAACATGGCACTCATGCTGGTCATGTGCCGGTCCAGGGCATCATTTCCTGTTGCAGGCTTGCCAGCAGACAAAAAATCTTTTTGCCTCGGAACATCGACTGCAAAGCTTTTTCTTTCTGCCTTGCTTCTTTCAGCTTCTTTGCCTGATAGCGGGTGGCTTTCTCGATGCGTGCTGCCTTGTGCGCAGCAACTGCTTGTCCAGGGTCATGTCCAATTTCTTGCTGCAATTCTTCGGCGGTCAATCCTTTGCCCGCCGCTGTGTCAAGGGCACGTTCTCTGCGGCGTTTCTTTTGCAATTGCGCCTCTGCCTCATGCTTCTCGGTCCAGTGCTCATCACTGGGGCATTGAAATGCCGAAGGCGCAGCATCATTCACTTCAGCTGCAACCGCTGCAGCTCGCCAAATCGAAAAACCTTGTCCGATTTCAGAAGATGTAACATCTTATAGATAGTTAGTCTTAAGCACTTGAAGCAACACCTAAAATTAAAATGTCGCAGCAAAAAGAAAAGCAAGGAAATGACAGTCAGGAGCGAGTTGCCTGCAGGGTCCCGTCAACCTCGTCTTTGCTTCTCTTTTGCCATGCCCGGCTAGCTGCAACAAATCTCATGGTGGAGTCACTTCCGGTAGTTTTTACAGGACCAGAGAACTTTGCCCAAAGAACAGCCGCTGCTCTGGCCAATTCCTCATCTTCAGCTTGCCTGAAATGTTGGGTGCTAAGAAGAAAAACTTCATCGCGTAAGGCAATCTCAGTCATGCTGCCTTTGCTGTTGGTAAGAGCCCGGATGCCAGAGAAAGCTTGTTCCACGCCAGATGTAGAACAGCCCCATCCAAAAGCGCGACTCAATGCCTTTCTAAGCTCTCCTTGGGGATGATGGTTCCGTAGATTTGAATCTTTCAAGGCCAGGCTCAGAGCAGCTTTCCATGCCATGAGAGGCTCCAAACCTGCTGATTCGAACTTGTGCTGCGCGATTGGGTGAAAATCAGCAAACTGCTCCGCAAAGGAATCTTCGTCTAATTCTAAAGCTGCGACAGTTTCTGAACCTTGTCCGCAATCGTCTTTTCCTCTGCGGTGTGGCTTTGACGGTGGCTATCCCGTTCGCTCATGGGAGTCAAATGGAAAATTGACAGTGACTGCAAGATTTCAAAGTATGGGAACTCAGCTGCGACGACTTCCTGCGCCAATCTCACCCAAGAACTGAATCGTTTCAAGCAGTTGCATACAATAACAGCCAACTGCTGCCGGGGCAAGCCACCAAGACGCTTCACCATCTTGTCCACGTAGAGTGTTTTTGGCGTCTCCAAGACTTTCAAGACATGCGCCGTGTAGCCGGTCTTTGTCACAGCACCATTGACAAACAATACTTCTAAGCACATCACAAATTGCTGCACCAGTAGGGCTAAGCTTCCAGACGTGACTCTCTCTGAATCCAGGCGTCTGGTCAGTTGCAGATTTTCCTCCCCTGCGTCCGCCAGCGTACCCATGAGCACCACGGTTTCCTCAGAAAGCAAGTCAAGGAATGTCCTACCTGCGTGGCCAACTTTTTCATGTTTCCTTTCCTCGTGCAGATCCCTGGCAGCCATGAAATGCTTCAGTTCAGCATATAGGTCCTCACTGCATTGATGATCGTCGCCTTATCGGCATGCGTGCCCTTGTCCTGAGAAAACCTGGTCACTCCAGTCTTCCATTTGGAGAAGATCCCTTCTGAGAGCTGCCCCGTAGGCTTCATCACTCCAGTCCAGCATCCATGAAGGCCTGTGTCAAGCCAGCCACCGCTGAGAAGGTTGAAGAGCTCGGTCTGGATTCCAAAGACGCCGCTGCAGCAGGAAGAAATTTCTCTTCTTCCACAGCTCTCACACGAGCCCAGGCAGCAGCGAGGAAATCCCCCCCGCGAGTTTCGCTAAAATGGAACGCAAAGCCCGAGTCCGCCACCAGTTTCTTGCTCTCACGAAACTGCCTCACCCGTGCTTGCGCTTAGTGAAGGTTGGTGGCAGCGTCGAGAGGCCCAGCCGCCGCCTCCACAGCATAGCGCCGAACAATCGCAGCCAACACTTGAAGCAAATATTGCGGAGGCCACGCCCAAACCTAACCTGACATGGGACCAATGGGGAGGTGGATCGCACCTCGACCCTCAAGCGACTCCAAAGGGGCAAAGCCTCATGATTCCAGCTGTTGCTGTTCTGCAACAAAGGCCAAGGTCGCTCGCCAAGGTCTTCATAACCCGAGGGATGGCAGCAGGTAGTTCCTCTACCTTCAAAAGCTGCACCTCTGGTCGAAGTCATAGGCCTAGACCTCGCCATCGGAGCTCTCGCCACACATTGTGCAAAATGGGAGCCAGTCACGGCATCCGTTGCGCACCACGCAGATGGGCGGGATAAATCAAACGCAACCTCGGCATCCACTGCATCTTGTGCCCTGCTGCTCCGGCATGAAGAAGGCAGGATCGTACCAAATCCCATCACCCCATTGCAGCCTCCATTGTGCGAACATGTCGCTCTGGGATCCGTCCAAGCCCTGGGCAAGGCGGTCGGAGAGCTTTGCCACGTGGCTGCGGATGTGATGCATGGCCCGATGCATACATCGGCACAGGGACGAGGTCCAGCTTCTCATGGGGATTGGCATGGTACCTGTCCCAAGTGGAAGCCACTGTGGCCTGTTCTTGAGCGTTGATACCAATGAGGCGCTACTGTCTACGGGCGCTTGGGGGGACTTCAGCCAGCACATCACTGCGCTGGTGCTTTGTGGGCGACTTGACGATTGTGGGGGTCAGTGTTTGAGGTGATGCACATGGGAGTTTGACCCACCAACACCAATCCTCCAATCACTTGACATGCCACCCATCAGACACATGCCCTGTTGCAAGACCCTTGCACCCGTTGTGAGACTGGCAGAGGAGGGGTGCAGTTCCCCCAGGGCGGGGTCATGTACCCAATAGGTAACCCAGGCAAAAAAGGATTTCGTGGTCACTCCAATCCAAATGAGGCCCAAAAAACAAAAATGGATCAAGGCACCTGAGCCAAAATAACATTGTGATTAGACATGATCAGTGCAAACCCAAGCCTTCCAAAACCTGATGCGCACACACACACAGATATATATAGATAGATAGATAGATAGATAGATAGATACACACCGGGATCCATTGTGTACGTACCTTTGTGGCTTCAAAAACCAAGGGGCGCAAAGAACACTGAAAGGGTCCCTAGTGCACCTGTGAATGAGCATAGAATGCTTTTCATGTAACTGAAGCAGCAACAAGTCCTGAATGTCACGATGATCATCTCTAGTCGAATTGTGCAAGTCTGTCGAAATCATGCTCTGATATAAGAATATCATGATGTATCCTTCTATTGCAAATATCATCATGGACGAAGGCCTAAGCGAGCCAAAACGTAGGCCAAAAACAAAATGACGGGAACAGCTTGGAACAGCTTTGCCAAGTGCTGGGCACCAAAGAGTTGTCCTGGTCCCAGCCGTGGATATGTGCAGCTTTGCAATCACAAACGCAGACAAAAGTCATGTGAATCAACGTCCGAAACAAGTTCATATAAGGGCTCCATGAGATTCCATGAATCCACTTATAGCCGCTATAGCCAGGGTTGCCCAAGCTAGGCGTCCCGAATGTCCCGAAGTCAATGCACCAGCAGTCACCACGAGCCAGTGGCGGCGCTATGCGGCGCCCCAGTTAGAGTGACCAGTCTTTGCAGCTTTGACTGATACGGTCCGTCTGCAGTCAGTTCTACTTGCGAATATTCGCCAGATTTTCTGAAACTGACGAACCCTTCAATCATCGTCTGTCGAGAAGGAAAACTACATCAGGAACTCTCACACATTTCCGACCGCTGGTGTGGGTGCTGGCAAAGACACATGATAGCACAGGGTGAAATCAGACTAGAAGTTTATGCCCACAGGGCAACCCGAAGTTCTGAACTCGGGGATTCTTGCCATCGCGGACTCTCTACGTAAAGGAGCAAACGGCTTGAGCCATGTCTCCCACATTACGCGAGTTTCAAACCTTCGCAGGTGACAGTGATATTGCCCTGTTGTTGCTCAAGGCTGCGTAACTGTCACATGCAGGGACCTGAGAAGAAGTGCTTCAAATCGTTCAAATCACGTGTTGCTAAAACCTCTATCCAACTCACATTCGTCAACCTGGTGAAGTTCTGGATTCTGTCATTGGTACCTTTGCACAAACACATGCTGCTGGCTGAAAACTCTTAAATTCTATATAGATTGGTCACAACGATAATGTTCACAAATGTGCGCAGTCGTCCTGCGCTATATTTTGCCGTCAGTGTGCTCGAGATCAATAGGTCTTTGGGATCGGTTCAATTTCATAGCTGTGCTATGTCAATGTCATTGGCTCAATGTAAGCTTTGGGCTCTTCAACCGCTGCACTGCACATTCCCACATGAGTGGCACTTCATTCCTGGACCCATTTGATCTGTACTTCTGCATGCTCAAAAACCGGGCCATATTGTGCTACCTCAAGTTGTCAACCTCAAGTTCGGCCGTTCCAGGAAGTGAAGGCAGTTCCTGCATTGAAATTTGGGGTGCGGTCCTGGCGCATGCGTGCAAGGAAACGGAAATCACGGTACAGATATTGATCTACCTAAATGAACATCCGTAAAACTATCCATTTGCCAGTCCACATGGTACTGCTTAGAAGAAATTTACCCTTTGGGAAATCATCCGGTCCTCTATGCATGCATGAATAAGTCATAAATCCATGATGTAACTATGTGAATATGATTGAATATGCATGTGTGCATGCTGGGCAAACCATCAACACCTGACTCAGAGTGTGAGAAGAGAAACCCAAATGCAAAGTGTGCACGCTGAGGCCGGCAATGGCCAAAACTAAAAGTGGTTCCAAGAAATGACTCATAAAACGTGCTAAAGGAAAACGTGCGCGCTTGCATTGTGCCTAAAAACATATAATTGAAACTTGCTGCAAACAAAATCAAACTTCCTGTTGCAAAAACTTTATATGTAAAAATGGCGTGGCAAAAGTTGGACATGTTCGGGGATGTTCGGAGTGATCATCGCAGTGAACATCTACATCATGATGAACCTCCATAAACCACGCGAAGTTTCCCCCGTTGGTCCCAGGCCGGTCAAGTTGGACCAGCCCAAACGGGGCAGGTGTTGTGACGGCAAGTCTGCGTTCCAAGCCACGCTTTTAAACCGGCGAAAAAACGAAAGATCAGCGCAGCAAACCCATCAAGTTGGAGGGAAGCGCAGAGCGGTGCTCAAATGTCCAGGTTGGAGGTTCTTTTTTGTTGACACCCCTCCCCACGAAAGCTATTGGGACGTATGGTTGACCCAGCCCAAGTTGGGCCCGAATGAGGCCCAAGTTGGTCCCGAGTCTGCCCCTTCGGTGTTAAGCCCAAATTGCACCAAAGTACGTCCAAATCTGGCCCAAAAAGGCCTACATTGGGCCCAAATAGGCGCGTGCTGAGGCTGCAGCCCGGCAGCCATACTCTTCAACTTCGAAAAGCCTCTCCCCTCATAACAACTTGGTGCGGGCAGTGTTCACGGTTCGTCGCGAAGTGATACGAACACAAAATTTACAAATGTAAGGGAAGCGAACACAAAATTTACATATGTAAGGGAAAATGCAAAGGAGAAAGGACTACAGTGACTACGGAAGGCAAGGAAGGAAAGAAACCGAGGGGGAGAGAGAGATAGAGAGAGAGAGAGAGGGAGGGAGAGAGAGAGAGAGAGACAGAAAGAAAGAAAGAAAGAAGGAAAGAAAGAAAGAAAGAAAAAAGAAAGAAATAAAGAAAAAAAGAAAGATAGAAAATAAATAAATAAATAAAATTAAATAAATAAATAAAGAAAGCAAGCAAGAAAGAAAGAACGAAAGAAAAAAAGAAAGAAAGAAGGAACAAAAGAAAGAAAGAACGAAAGAGAGAAAATATAGAAAGAAAGAAAGAAAAGATAGAAATAAAGAAAAACAAGAGAGAAAAGAAAGAAAAGAAAGAAAGAAAAGAAAGAAAAGAAAGAAAGAAGGAAAGAAAGAAAAAAAGAAAGATAGAAAAGAAAGAAAAAAATAAAAAAAAGAAAGAAAGCAAACAAGCAAAAAAGAAAGAAAGAACGAAAGAAACAAAGAAAGAAAGAAGGAACGAAAGAAAGAACGAAAGAACGAAAGAAAGAACGAAAGAACGAAAGAAAGAAAAGATAGAAAGAAAGAAAGAAAAGATAAAAAGAAAGAAAGAAAAGATAGAAATAAAGAAAGAAAGAAAAGAAAGACAGAAAGAAAATAAAGCAAGAAAGAAAAGAAAAGAAAAGAAAAGAAAGAAAGAAAGAAAGAAAGAAAGAAAGAAAGAAATAATGAAAAGAAAGAAAAGAAAGAAAAGAAAGAAAGAAAGAAAGAACGACAGAAAGAAAGAAAAAAAGAAAGAAAAAGAAAAGAAAAAGAAAAGAAAGAAAGAAAGAAAAAAGAAAGAAAGAAAAAAAGAAACAAAGAAAGAGAGCAAGAACGAAAGAAAGAAAAGATAGAAAGAAAGAAAGAAAAGATAGAAAGAAAGAAAGAAAAGATAGAAATAAAGAAAGAAAGAAAAGAACGAACGAAAGAAAGAAAGAAAGAAAGACAGAAAGCAAGAAAGCAAGAAAACGAAAGGCACGAAGGGGAGAAGGAAAGACTGAACAGGCGGTGGGTCAAAAACAGTTGTTGGGACCCAACGATTTTTTGTCGTAAATCAATGAAATCACTGAGGCATATGTCAAGACATGATAAGAAATATCCTATATTGAGACTATCTTTGGTGCTCGCATGGCACTCAGAATATTCCGGAACTTTTCTTGAAGGGTGCTCTTATTCCCTCCCACTTTGTAGAGCCCTCAGACAAAGGCCAAATACAGGGCCACGGCCCTATCAATGGCAGTCCTTTGTTCTTCCTCCCGGATCTGCAGCAGCTTAAGGCGGCGTGCCTCTGCCAGAATCCCGCGGAAGACCTTCGCGCACAAAATATGCTTGGGCAATATTACACCCAGGTAAAAAATCGTCCAATCTCCGATTGCATGATGAAAGAAGGGCCAGTAATGTGAAGCACGTGCAACCACAATGCGAGAGGTACAAAGCCAAGACACCGCTATGCGAACGCAATAGCGCCGTACAATCTGGCCCAGCTCAGGGCAATTGGCTCGGCGCCGCTCGATCACATCCATGAAACTCCTTAGTCATTCGTGTGGAAGACCGAGTCGTTGGCGTCAGCAACTTCAAAGCATTTTTAACACCTTTCAGAATATCTCTCCTCATTCGAGTAATAGTTTTCCATATTCTATTTGCTGGCGCCACCTGCCTCAGCACCCCAATTATATGAAAGGCCACGGCCTGCGGGTGAGGCGCAGCTTTTAGAAGTTTAGGAGTATGGTAGCAGGTGGGCCGAACACAAGCCGACTTGGGCCCAACTTGGGTCGAACACTGTGTGGGGGCAACTGCCGTACAAGTTGGGCAAAACATGGGCCAAAAAACGTGGGAATACCACTGGAAAACGCGTGTTTGAAGATTTTGTATTGGACCTGGCAAGTCCCCCATGTTGAGGCCATCCGTCCAAGTGGCAAGTTGGGACCCAAGTTGGGGCCATGCTGGCCAAAGGTTAAGCCCATGTTGCGGAGGTATGGGATCGAACCGGTGAATTTGGATGATGTTGTGCGGAGGTGACATGTGCAAAAATTACCGCAGTGGGAAACCGATTTTTGGAGCCGGCTGAAGCTGTACCATGAAATCGATAATTCACTCGCTGGCTCGACTCCTAAACAACCACGCTCTGGCGCGGGCGGATTTCCGACTTTGCCTCTGCATGTGCTACCTAATCTCCATAGTCCTTGGTTTGCGTGCGAAGCGATGTTTCTTTTGGATCTGCTGGGCAAAGTTCCAGTCCGTGTTGAACCTGGAACCTTAAGCTGCTGTTGAGTATGGGTGCACCTCCTTTTGTGCCTCATTGGTGGGTCCCTCGCTACCAGGTCCATAGCTACCTGCTCTTCCGGCCTCCTCTTTTGTCAGTTACATTGTGCTGGGTGGCAGTTGCGGGCCTGACAGGACCATTTCGATATCTTTAGTTGTTTCGCACCTTGCCTTGCTTTGTTGCAGCCCCTCTGCGTGCAAAGGTTGGGTTGCTTGTGTGAGTCTGGGATGTTCGGGTCACGTACCTGCACCGCACTGTGGTGGCCAGGTGGCAGAGCCAAACTTCTCCAACTTTGATGTGACTACAGGTCTGGGTTCATATGGTTGTGACACATTTGCCTTTTGATCTTGTCAAGATGTGGATTCCAAGGGTTCTGAATGTGAGTATGAGTACATGAACACAATTCCAATCTGCAGTGTCTGTGCGCAATGTGTGCATGTACCATGTGAAAAAAAACTCCCTAGAATAAACATGAATAAACTAATACGCATTTTCATGAAGAATGCTGCCGGAGGGACTGCGGGGGCCTCCGACCAATGAAGACAACCGCATTCCCCCAGCTCTTTTCTTGGGTCCGCCTTCTTTTCTGTGTGTTTGCTTCGGGCCGGGGCGTGTGTGTGAAACATGTGAACACATGTAAAACTTCTAGCAATTTGTCGGAGGAGATGGGTGGTCTCTGACCAACTAAGATGCTCCTCCTATCTATCTAGTGTACACGTACCTGCTGCATTTTCTGTATGGATTATATATTTTCTATTAATTATTTTCTTGCCTGATCCCAGCCGCAGTTAGTTGTCTTAGGACAATTTGTAACTATTACCAGTAGTACCCGCACGAGGCGGGGCGGAAGTTGCCTTAGGGATATACCATAAGACCTTTATCATCCATAGAACTTGCACGCGCCGTGCGCCAGCCAGGCCCGTGCGTGCTTTGTGCGAAGCTGTTGCACAGATGTTGTCCAAGAACATGACCTGCGCGCGGCCCCTGTGCAATGCAACGCCAAGCGAGGACTTTCCGCACACTTCACACTGCACTCTTCATACTTCACACTCCACGCTTCATCTCATCTCAGATCATGTGAGCTCTTCTCACCTCATCTCAGCTCTTCTCATCTCATCCCATCGCCTCTCGCATGTCATCTAAGAAAGCTCTTCTCAACTGTTTACTAAGCTTGCACAAAGCACTTCCCAGTACTACTTTGTACTACAAAGCTTGCACAAAGTCCTTCCCAGTACTGCTTTGTACTACAAGACTTGCACAAAGCATGTCCCAGTACTACAGCTTGAGTATTGTACAAGAATTCACTGTATAAGAGTTTGAAGGGCTCGAATCCAAGGCGGGCTACATATTTTCAGCTATACCAAACACATAGTACTTTAAGAATTTGAGGGACCCTGGAATAGGATTGCCAAATTCTTAAATTACTGCTTACACGTGAGGTTTGCAATTCCCCTTTGCGGTTCATGTTTTGTGTGGCGTGACCCCTTATGGTCTTCTGGGATGAAATCGGGCTTTGCAGAAAAACAATTTTTCAAGCTCCGAAAAATCGTTTTTTTCGCACATGCTTGGACTGCTTCCAATCCATGCAAAATCGATATGTGGATAGATGTGGGGACCTGGAACATTGTTTTCCCTAACAACTTGAAGAAAACTGAAACTTTGCAGAAAATCAATTTTTCAAGCTCCGTTTTTTTTTCTCCCGCGCATGCTTGGACTGCTTCCAATCGGACTTGGAACATTGTTTACCCAAAAACTTGGCGAAAAGAGCGACTTCGGCGCCTTAGCCCGCCGCGCTGCCGACTGAGCCATGCGGTCTTTGGCTGCTTTTCCAAAGATAAGGAAATAAACAACAAAATTAGCTGGAATAGCCAAGAAACTTAGCTGAAGCAGGGCTCTGCGGAAAAACAACTTTTCAAGCTCCGATTTTTTTGCGCACGCATTTGGACTGCTTCAATTCCACACAAAATCACTATGTGGGTAGACTTGGGGACCTGAAACATTGTTCTACGCAATAACTTGCTTGGCAAAAAACCAACTTTTCAGGCTCCAAAAACTTGTTTTTCCACACTGCTATCATGAAACTCAGAGAAGCTCGGCTTTGCAAAGAAACAATTTGTCAGACTCCAATTTTTTTTTTTTTGCACACTAACCTCATGAAATTCAGACAAGCCTGGCTTTGAAAAAAAAATCAGGCTCTAAAAAAGGTTTTTTCCGCGCTGCTCTCATGAAACTCAGGCAAGCCCGGCTTTGCAAAAAAACAATTTTTCAGGCTCTCAAATTTCATTTTTTCGCATGCCTCTTGTCAAATCTGCCTCCGCCCCCTTACCTCGTTTAAGCTTGCGCCAAATTGCGCAGATGCACGCAATACATAACTAAGAATGCCTTAAGAATTTGAGGGACCCTCGGCCTATGGTGGTGTAAATTTGCCTGCATGTAAAAATAAGAATTTGAGGGGCCCTGGCACTCAAGCTTTCGGATTCTTAACCAGCGCTCGGGCTGTACTTTGTACTACAAAGCTTGCGCAAAGCACGTCCCAGTTGAAAAATCTGCTGACAAATCACTGTCGCAGCCTACTTGATGCAGCCACTCTAATACTATTTACAAGATCCAGCTGCAAAAGAAAAGAATATGACGCACGCAGCCGCGGCACCAAGCAACCTTGACGCAGCCACTACAATGCGATCTGCAGACACAGAATTGCGAAACATCATAGAACTACACGCAACGTCGGAAATTGCATCTCCACAGTGGGATCTCGACGCCAAAGTGAGACAAAAAAGGAAGCACTTTTCTAAAAGGAATTTTGAAAGGAAAATTGCTAGCACAAAAATTGAGAAAATCTGCTGACAAATCACTCTCGCAGCCGTCATACAGCCACTTCAATACTATTTACGAGATCCAGCTGCAAAAGACAAAAATATTACGCATGCAGCCGCGGCACCGAGCCCTTTGACGCAGCCATTCCAATGCGATCTGCAACCGCAGATTCAAGAAACGCAGAGAACTACGCACACAGACACATCCACTCGCTACAGAACACAGAGGAGGAACCAATTCGCGCATGAAACGACCGCAGCCGCACCCGCCGCACACACGAGCTACCTTTCATCGCCGGCTGCAGCCACTTTACACGGAAAATCGCAAGGTTTTGTGCTCCGGCTTCCTGCCCAAAACAAAGCCCATGCAACATTCATGCAGCCATTACAATACGTTTCGCAGCATCCCGTAGCAAACCTGCATCTCTGTTCGCCCCCACCAGATGACAACAATCATGCAGCCATTCCAATGCGATCTGCAACCACAGATTCAAGAAACGCATAGAACTACGCACACAAAAACAACCACTCGTTGCAGAACACAAAGGAGAAACCAAAACGACTACAGCCGCAACCGCCGCACCCAGGAGATACCTTTCATCGCCGGCTGCAGCCACTTTACACGGGCAAGTGCAAGGTCTACAAGGTTTCGTGCTCTGGCTTCCTCCCAAAAACAAAGCACATGCAACATTCATGCAGCCATTACAATACGTTTCGCAGCATCCCGTAGCAAACCTGCATCTCTCTCCGCACATGGCACCACCAAATGACAACAATCATACAGCCATTACACAAGTGTATTGTTATGCGACGTCAAGTCTCACACCACCCTTCATTGAGTGTATTGTTATGTGATGTCAAGTCTCACACCACGGTCTCACACCACCCTTCATTGAATGTATTCTTATGTGATGTCAAATCTCACACCACCCTTCATTGAGTGTATTGTTATGAGATGTAAAATCTCACACCACCCTTCATTGAGTGTATTGTTATGTGATGTAAAGTCTCACGCCACCCTCCATTGAGTATTGTTATGTGATGTGAAGTGTCACACCACCCTTCATTGAGTGTATTGATATGTGATACAAAGTCTCACACCACCCTTCATTGAATGTATCGGTATGTGATGTAAAGTCTCACACCACCCTTCATTGAATGTATTCTTATGTGATGTAAAGTCTCACACCGCCCTTCATTGAGTGTTTTGATATGTGATGTAAGAGTCTCACAATTCTATCGGTCCGTAACTCGGAAGATTGCTTCCCAACTTCCTTTGACGAGCGTTCCTACGGAGATGTTGTTCATGAAAAGGGAAAAATCCTAGTAAGACGCTTCACTGTCTTATTTTGACCAATGCGCTGTGTGCGTCCAAACAGGACTCGCTTAGCAACAGCACACATGTTTTAATCTTGTGCTCGACGTTGCGCAAGTCAGTCCGCCGAGGTATGTGAAGAATACAGAAAACGTGCTTGGATGGAACACCTGACTTTCTCCAGTGCTATGGGGTTTAAAGTTTTTCTTCCATATTTCATCCCGTGGGAGTGCCCTGGTAAACCCTATGCCAAGAGTTTCTCGCTGCACCGCGTGGTCTGGTATTTTCCTCCAAGAGGCCCACGCTTCAAGCAAAGAACCTCTACGTAAGTAAGTGCAAAGCCTGCACCAAAGCGGAAATGCCAACTGACGAGGGTTTCAACGAGGTCTGCTTGAAAGCTATTGGCGATGATCTCTTGTCCATATGGTATACAAAGCTAGAACACCTGGTCTGAAGGTGTTCTAATGGCATCTATCTATCTATCTATCCATCTATCTATCTATCTATATTTATTTATTTCTTTGTTTATTTATTTATCTATTTATATTGTATGTGTGTGAAAGGTTGAGAACACATACCTCTTCCCCCAAAACAGGGCTTCCACCAAATGGGGCCAATATGGGCCAATGCATTCCCGCACACTGCACATCACTGCACCAGGGTTTCTTGAGTTTGGGTTTCTCTATTGACCTGAAACCTTATGATACGAGTAACACATGTAACACTCATCTCATTTGTGTCCTAGCTTCTGGGGCTCTCGTGCCCCACTCCCTGCCTGAAAACCTCTGAATCAATGGCACATCTGCAAGGACGAAATCTTCTCCCCAAACTGCACCGTTGGAAGCCACCCGAGTGTTCAACAATACCAAACCTGCCATGATGCCAAATGCTGGCACAAGCACGAATAATAATAATAATAAAATATAATAAATAGTTGCTAATTATAGAATAATTAATAATGATATAATAAATAATAACAATAGCAAAAGTTTGACAGGGGAAATTACAGTAACTTGGCCATCAAAACTGATGACGCAAGGACACTTCTTATTTCTTCCCGAATAGTGAAGGGTTCTTTGTCCATCTTCGAAGGCAACCAACTTTTTGAATACTTTTTGGCCATAACAGCATGTCGCAGAAATTCAAGCCCACCCGCCCACCAATGTAGAGCGCTCTCACGCTTTTTCTTCGGTGGATGCAGCGTCTCTGCTGCCCTGACTTATCAGTCAGTCATCCAAGCCATCCAATCCATCAGCAGGGGCTGTATCTCCAAAAGCCATCAGCTGCGCCAAACTGATGCCTCCTTTGACAGCGTCGCGCGCCTCATATGCAGATTCGCGCTTTTTGCACTTGTTTGATCCCTGCAGGAATTTTGGAGCCAGCGATGCTTTCACATTCTTCTCTGAAAAGTGCCATCCACACCACGTGTCCCAGTCCGACAACTTCAGGTTCCAGGACGCCTTTCTCACTCGGTGTGATGTACGTCCGTATCTGCCTATCGAGACTGCCCAACATTGTTCGGGTCCGGGATGGTCCGGGTACTTTTGTTGCTTTCTTCTTCCTCGAACTAGGTGCTTTGTCGGAAAACGCTGCCTGGTGCTGTCCTGTGGCTCCTAAATCCACGCCTGTGGAGCTGGTGTTCCTGGGCACGGTGTCATCGGCGCAGACTTGCCCCCCGGAATGGATGACAAAGACACTGAAAGGCCAGCGTTCAACGGGGTGTCCTGCAAAGCTTCTTCCATGTACCTAAACGCCGCCGAGGACTTCCATCTCCCAAGTGTTCCAATCTCATGTATCGGAAGCATCGCACCGCTCCTTCTTCTGGAGTGGCCTGTGATTTCACTTTCGATGTTTTCCATCCATGACGTTATCACCTTGACCTTTTGGACGGCTGATCCATCCTTGTCCGGGAACAGCGGGGTGTCCTCGTGGATGTCGGTGTGTTCTGCCAGGATCCGTTGCGAAAAGCTTCAGCCTCGAGCACTCCAGGTTACCACAGCATTTCAGCGTCTTTCTGACACCATGTGCAGCCTGGTCCATCTTGGACTTCTTAATGAACAAGGTGACGGTCCTGTCGAGGTGGTTGACTGTCACGTCCTTCACCTTCAGCTGCACCAGTTCGATGCACCGAAGCATCCAAATGGTGGCCCATGCGTAGCGCCACGCGCTTCGACACGGGGAGCATTTGCCTGACTGCTTGGTTTCCCAAATTTCTTCACTTATGCTATCTGGGTTTATGTACCTCTTGCGGACCACCCAGCGAAACTAAATTGAGGAACCCGATCTGATGAAGATGGCTCGACCACGAAGTTTTGGGCCCCACATGTTCGCCGCTCGCAAGACCTCGCCCCATTCCACCTCCAGCAGCTCTGCCTCGTTCTTGGAGATGAATCCTTCGACGGCTTTGAGCGGACGAAGGCGGGTTTTCCCTGTCTCGTCCACCTTCATCAGCACTGCGCCCCAACCTTTAGGCGATGCGTCTGTGATGACGCCCATGGACACTGGGGGTTGCTTCATCCGTTCCACTCAAATCAGATTTTCCACCGGGTTCTCAAACAGCTTGAGGAGCCACAAGTGGATTCCCCCAAGCCGCTTGGTTGGGAACAGACCAACCTTTGCCCGGGACTTGCCTCGCAGCTGCACGATGGGCTTCAGATCCATCACGTTGTTCTTTCTCAACCTCCTTCAAAGTTGCATAGAGGACGTTGTCCAACGCAAGCGGAGTAGAACGCCTCCTGCCCACGACAGTCCGCCCGTCGTTGACTTGAGCTCCTTGATGGCTCCCATGCCTCCTCCAGCACACGTGTGGAGCGTTGTCAGGACCTGGTCGATGATCTGCTTCGAGATGCCCAGGATCACGACCTCTGGCTCGCCCTCAGTGACAACTGGTACCTCCATCGTGCAGCCTATATCCACACTCTCCCACGTACTCCCTTTTTCAAATTTGTCCTCACTCCAAATACGCCTCTGCCGTGTACAGGATGCAGGCCAGTCTTGACTCCCTTGTTTCCCTGGGGCCCAAAGACACCACCAATATTATGTCATCCACGTGCAGCTGGAGCTGTGTCTCGTCCAAGGCGCTTTGCACAGAAGGCGTCCTCCAAGTCGATGAGGTAGAGCTCGAAATCATCTTCATCCTCTTCACGTCGACGGCCTTTGTGTCCACCTCTTGGCTTCCACATGTTCTCGAGCATCGCGGTCACGTCGGTCAACCGCGGAAGCACTATCTTCTCGTCGACCTTGGCCCTTGCGTTTCCAAAGCTCCTTCTCATGTCCAAGATGATGCACCTCTTCACTGAGCTGTCTTCCTTCTCTTTCAGGATGAGCGCCATCTTGAACACCGTTCCAGTTTTGCCCAACAGACGTTGGACCCATTCCCAAGACACCCTCTGGCGAACTTTTTCTCCACGTAGCGGTTGATCTGCACCTCCGCCTTGGGGTTGCATCCGAACTGACTGATAGTTCCTCAGCAGCTTCAACTGTTCAAAATTCGCCTGCGGGGTCAGCGTTGATGATCTCCTGGTCCAAAGCTAAAGGGAAAATTCCGCTGAGGGGGATCTCTATGACCATACCAAGCGGAGCCCCACGCCGCATGAAGTCCGGCAGGCACACGTCCGTCCGCTGCCTCTTCGCTCCAGGTCCGCTGTTCCCAAAATCTTGCTTGCAAAGGTGAATGGAACTCCCAATTCTTGCGGATGACGTTTCTCTTCCACTTTCACCAGGTTGTCCACGATAGCTTTCCGCCATTCCTCCAGAATCTCATCATGGAAGACGGTGTCCGGCTTGCCATAGTTCCTCGCCAGCTCCAGGGACTTTGGGTGTGATTCCTCAAATTCATTCCACAAGGCTGCAAGCTTCTTCTCCGCGTTTGCCAATTGTGTGAGTCTCCTCACGCTTTTGGCGGGATTGCGCATCCAGCCAATGGTTGTGCTCCTCTTTCACCTCCTTGGTTACGTGAACCGGAAGGTAGATCATCCGTCTCAATGTTGTCAGTCTTGAAGGCGATCGACGCGGCTCTCTTGGATGCCGGGGCTCTGGTCGCCGCCCCTGTCTCCTTCTTCTCCTCGTTTTCAAGCCACGCCTTTTGCAGTTGGTTCACCTCCTACGCTTTTGTCTCGACCTGGAATCTCCACCGCTCCAAGTTGAAGGTCCTTTTCCACCACAACCAGTTTTGCCACCGCATCGGCGAGGCCCATAGGATACTCTGCCGCGCTGGAAGTCAAAGCTTTGCCCACGAGTGCAATGTGAATGATCCATGCGGGGCACCTGCACGCACGTTGAAGGGATTCCATGTCCTCCAATCTTCTGGCCCAAACGCCGGCTTCTTAAACCTCGTTTTGTCCTTAGTTTGGTAGGCGCATATGTTGTAGTGCGCCTTTTCTCCTTCCGTTGCCGCTTCCCGAGACATCACTGCCTGGTGGGTTTTCAAATGTGGCTACAAGTGGAACTTTGCGAGCTCTGCAGCAGTTGACCTGGTCCTTGTACAGTTCCGCCGCCTGTTGCGCGTCCCACGGTCCGCTTCTTGCTGCTGTTCAACGCTGTTCCCTTGTAGGCCATAGATGTTCTTCTTATCCCTCACCGGTCCCAGTTTCCCAGGTGTTCGATTATGTCGAGCCATGGAGAACGATCCCATGGAAAACCTGCGTGGACGTAATCCCACTCTCCGGCCTTCACCTCCTGGGACAATCAATGTCTGTGGCTCGACCTCTGCGATAGGTCCAAGTTGACGTCCTTCTGCTCGTCCAGGTTCAGTATGACCGCCTCCAACCTGTTGCGAGCTGCTTCAAGTTTGATAGCTTCACCAAGGGGATCATTTGGACCAGAATTCAAGCGCAAAAATTTGAAAGGCCTGTTCCGCCTGAAGTCCTCGAAGTTCTTTGCCGCTTTCAGGGCTGCTTCCACTCTCCTGGGTTTCAAGATGTCCTCGTGGATCTCTGCGGTAGCCCTTGAGTGGGGGAGGGATCCTCTTCATCCCCATCCCCAAAATCCACCGAAGGGGGGCTTTTCAACCTCAGCACCTTTATCTTCAGCCATGACTGCGTCTGTCCCATGACAACTAAAACATGTTTCCCTGCCCAATCAAAAAGGTTGACCTGTCACCTAATGCACATCCCTGCAACTGAACACAGCCCAAGAAAACAAGTAAACACACCTTCGCAACCCTAAAGAAAACACTCCCGTCCTTCAAGAACTTCGCAACCCAAGTTTTACCAGGCTGCTGTGCTCCTTGGCGTTGGGTCGACTCGCTCATTTAGAGCAATCTGCGTCCTGGTGAGACCGGGACAAACACTTTCTGCACTTGTGGATGCGCCCACAAATCAGGGTAAGACTTGACTGGGCTGATGGGTGGTCCCGCAGCCGGTCTGGTTCCAGCAACAGCGGACCAATGCCGCCGGTTGCGCTGACGGCGGAAGAGGAGGTCGCAGCCCTAAAGAAGGGCAGTGCAGACCGTAAATTTCTGTTTGACAGGAACGAAGTTCCGAAGGCCTTGGCGGCGAAATGGTTCCACTCCGGTGTGACTACACCGGAAAAGTTCGCCAACATTGCCAAGGATGTTGATGATTTAGGGGCTGTCCTTAAGGCCCACATGGACGTGGACCCTGAGAGGACGCTGGAGGAGAGAGTCCAAGCTGCTTCAGTCACGTGCGCATGGACCAACGCACGGACAAGGGTGGCGAGGGCAGCAGAGGTGGAAGCAGAGTTAGACACAAAGGAGTGGAGGAAGCCCGTATCCACATCGGAATGGCTTGCAATGAGGATAGGGCTGGAGCAGGTGGACGAGCGTCTCACACTGGCAAAGGAGTACACGCTGAGGAATGCGTACCAGATGGTGGCCCTTCGCCACACCAACAGGCCGGAATTTCAAGGTGACTACATCAAGGTCTTTGAGGATTACAAGGATTACTTGATGAGGGGAACACGTCTATGGCCTGAATGCCAAGGACGCGGACGGCCTGACGGTGGCCGCGCCACCCTTCGGCCTAGTGCTGTCATATGAGAAGGCAGTCAGAAAGGAGGCTGCAAGGAGAATGAACCAAGAAGGGGTAGCCTTCCCAGTGGCTCTCCGAGCTGCATGGAGGGATCCTCTCACGAAGGAGAGGCATTTCACTACCCCGCTGGCGTTGGTCGCCAAGAGGCCAAGCAACACTGGTGGCCAGCCAGATGGGCACACAAAGAAGCAAAAGTTTAACGCAAAGGGCACCAGAGACAAAGGGAAGGGCAAAGGCAAGCAACTTCAAGGTTGCGCGTCGCACACAAAGGAGGGGACCCCCATCTGTTACCGCTTTAACACGGTGGGGGAAAAGTGCAAACAAAAGAAGTGCAAATTTGCACACCAGTGCGGGATCTGTTTCTCCGACAAGCACGCGATGTTCCAGTGCACACCCGCCGGCAGCCCCCAGATACGGGAGGAGCTGCGTGACCCCGCAAGTACGTGGTGCTCTACCTCTTCTCAGGGAAGAGGAGGAAGAATTCACTAGCATGGTTTGTCAGAAAGATGGCAAAGCAGTTTCACGCAGTTGTGGAGGTGATCGAACTGGACCTCCGGCATAGCCGTAAGGTCGACTTCACCCAGCCAGGGGTACAGAAGAAATGGCTCCAGCTGATTGACTCAGGGGGAGGCGATGCCCTGGTTGTCACCCCTCCCTGGGCACCGTGGGCAAATGAAGAGGGACCGTTCCCTTTGAGGTCCTCACAGTGTCTGCGTGGTTTCACATGGAATTCAGGCCAGAGGAGGAAGAAGGCTGAATTGGGGAACATATTGGGAAATTCGCCTTTGAGGCAATGAAGCGTCAGTTGGTCCAGGAGGACAAGGTCGCGTTCATGGAGCAGCTTGAAGACCTCGGTAAAACAAAGCAAGACCGAGTGCCTGGTCACTCCCCAGGCAGCATGTGGCAGTTCCCACAGCACGAAGAGCTCCTGGCCTCCCAAGCTATGCGAATGGGTGGCCCAACAGATCATGACCTCGTTCAGAAGGAACAGTGAGATTGGGAAGGGTCCTCCCCTGCGCTCTCCAACGAGGAGTCACTTGAAGAGGAACTGGAACTCTCTTCTTCAGCCACCGGCCCCACTGGACTGGAGCGTCCAGGTCAGGGGCTGCAGCTCCCCTCTTCACCTGGTCAGCGAAGCCTGGCCATGGGGCGAGCTTCTTCTTCCAGGCTTCAATCGCAGCATTGGCCTCCCCCGCGTCGACGTCCCATTTTTCGCACAGCCACATCTTGAGGCCCTCCAGGACGGCACCCTCGTCGAAGGCTTCGTAGCCCCGTACACCGCCTGCAGGCGACCCACCACAGCATTGTAGGTCCGGACGTACTGGTCTGAACCCTCGGGCGTCCACCGCCCAAGAAGGTCCCTTTCTGATTTCTCTATTCCCAGCGCCGCCAAAGCGCTTGGCATAGTAGCACGCTCACTGTGCTCTGTCCAATACCGTTCCCACCCGTGCGGTATCAGCTGCTCGCCTCTCTCGTCGCGGAGGTCCTGCATGATCTCTATGCTCACGCTACCGTCTCTTGATAGGCCATGACCTCCCCGGCGGTCACATCACCCTTGCTCGTGCCCGCAGGGACCATCAGCTCATAGCTGCCACCCAGCGCCCTGCTCAAGGCCAGCATCCCTTCTGACAGCCAGCCCTCAAATTGAATCCAGGCCCCTGCTGAGACGTGGAAGGGAAATTCTTTTACATGTTTCCCCCCGCCAGTCGTCTTTGTCCTTTTCATCAGGCCAGAGAGCTTCTGGTCGTACACCCACACACTGTCCTTCCGCGGAGGTGGGCCACATCATCAAACCTCAGGGAAGACCAGATCTTCAGGAGCTACACCCACGCGCCAGCGCGCACATGGTCCTCCCTCAGCCTGTCCATGACCACCTGCTCCAAGGCTGGGAGGAATGCCGATGGCATCCTATAGGCGCTCTCCTCCGGGGTGGCGCCTTGTCCTCCAGTTTCCGGAGAAGGTCCCGGACTACTGTTTCCACTAACGATGCAGGTCTCATCATCTGGTCTCCATCATATAGCCAGCCAGCTTCTCAAACCAAGCGACGCCCTTCCCGAGAGGGGCACAGAGGTGCCCATTCCTTCTTCCTCTCTGGCCAACAAATAGTCAACCAATTGCTCGCCTCGGAATGGCAAGGACCCTGTTGCGTCCATGGTCCATTTTCTGAACCCCTGCCAGTAGGCAAGATAGCGTTTCACCGTTGACGCCCTGAACTTCCCTAGGAGTGCCATCTTGGCCCTCTCTGGGTTGGACGTTGCCTCGATCTGCCGGACCACTGGAGCGCCCACCAGCTCTAGCTCTCTGTAGAGGAGGTGTATAGCCTTCTCCTCTTCCACATTTCCTCCACTACTGCCGGTGCTCGGGGCCCTAGGGACCTTTCCTAGCTTGCCCCTCTTCGGGACGACGACAGACCCCCTGTGGGTCGATCCAGCTGCACTAGACGGCGCCACTTCACGCTCCTTGATCAGGTGCTGCACAGCATCGTCAATGGCCTGCTGCCCTGGAGTCTTTGATCCCCCAGACAGTCTCACTTCCATCTCTAGGGATTCTAGGGCCGCATCTATCTGCGACTTCACCAGGGCCATCATCCACGGCTCCAGAGTGAGGCCTGCCCTCTCAGCCAGCTGCTTGGCCAAATGGCTGCACAGCTAGCCGGGGCCCCACTAGGCCAACTGACCTCAAGGTGCCCAGCAGCGTGCCAGCAGCGACGGGGTCACCATCGGCAGCACTGTCCTGCTGCTCCTCCCCCATCTACAACAAGAATTCCTCTGCCTAGTGGGGCGCCTGAGCCTATAACCATGGGGGTGCGCAAACACTTACATGACAAGTCATGAGCGCATTAATCATTAATCCTCTCAAATGTTCGATTGTGACCAATCCATTTGAATGCACGTCCTGCTACAACTGCCATGCAGAAGGACCAGTTTTACTTCATCAATGCCTTGGGCACTAAGAAAAATGCGGAGAAGTAAAGAAACCGCGGCAATAAAAAACCAGAAGGGTCTAAAATCAGGAGCCTCGAGGACATGCCAAAAAAAGGATAAAAAAGGATGATTATCACAATCAATTGGTGCACCTCGAGATACTGCTTGAAGGCCCTCGAGTCTTCTTTGCATTGCGGGTTCACATTTCAATTGATATTCTAGGAATATCAAACCTTGGGTCTTCCGTTCCAGCCATTATTTTTTCCAGTTTTGTCTTGTGCCACGCCTCTGGCAAGAATATGCAGCACTTGGACCTGAGCAAACAGAGGCGGTGAGATGTTCGCAAGGCAAAACTTCGTGCCGGCGCTGTGCGGTCGAGTCTTGGGTGAAACTCCGTCTCAGTGTCTTCAAAAATTAGGCCACTACGAACACTGAAAATGCACTTGCTATCTGTTGCCCCTTGTCTCCTTCAGTTCAGGACACACATGTTCCCATGACAGCTGTCAGACACTTGCATTCAAACCTGGCCCTCCAAGACACTTTCAATTTCTCACAGCCTGGGCCTAGATTATTGTGCATCGCATCGACAAGGAACCCAACATGACAGGGTCCAAGGCCGGTGATTTGACACAAAAAGGACCCTAAAACAGCGTCAAGCGGCGAAGGCGGGGCAGAAAATCCAATCACATCCATCATTCATTACCCGCCAACATAGTTACAATATGTTACAATCAGCCCATTGAGGCCCCAAGAGGAAAAAATCAAATGCAGAAGGTGTCTTGGTGACCATATTCCAAAGTTCCGAAGGGCATCGCTAAAGCTTTCACGCTGGGCATATGCTTTCATTTCCAGCTCCTGAGCGAAACTCGAGCTGGGCGTGTGCCAAGTCCTTGAGTTGGAACATTTTTAAATGCACTTTCCGGAAGAATCGGAAGACCAAAAGATGTCGAAGTGACGCAGTGCGATGTGTTCAACGGCTCTTTGCGTAATTTATGGTCCCTGTCATGCCCTAGGAACGAAGATGCTTTATTCTTGTTAGATATCCTTATCAACAGAAATTTGGAGGAGAAACATCCGAGATACATCCGAGCCACGGAAAATTGAAGTGGTGGTGTGAAGCAGAAGAGTGAAGAGAGCAGATAAGCGAAGAGCGCAGAGATTGAGTAGCACAGAGAAGTGAAGAGAGCAGAGAAGTCAGGAGGGCAGAGAAGTGAAGAGAGCACAGAAGTGAGGAGAGCAAAGAAGTGAAGAGAGCAGAGAAGTGGAAATAGCAAAGGGGTGAAGAGAGGCTGCCTGCATGCTCTTGATTGCTGCCGTGGGTGCCACAGGTCCATTGGGACTTTTGACGGGAGGCAAATCGTTGTTTGCGGATCGCACTGGAGTGGCTGTGTGCCTACGTTTTATTGCGTTTTGCAACTGCGCGTCGTAAATCGCATTGGAGTGGCGGCGCCGAGGGGGGTTGCAATGATGATTCCTTTTGTGATTTTGTAGTCCTTGGCGCTGATCATCGTCCTTGTGCAATTCCTTTTGCCAACTGCTTCAAAGTCGTACTTTTTGCCGAGAGCGCCTAAGCGTAGGGTTCTTCTAAAAAAAACGATTGAGATAATATCTTCACATCTTCTTCACATCTTCTTCACATCTTCTTCACATCTGACATCTGCTTTCTTGGGTCGTCCCATGTGTACCGCCTGGGCATGGCCCCGGCTCATCCCATCCCTTCTCCTGAGCCACATCTGCAATGCATGCATGGAGATTTGAGGCGTCTAGCCCAGCCGCGTCCACAGCCTCAAAAACGCACGATGTCACGATTCATAGACCATGAGCTGCTGCGGGAAACAGTCAGATTACTCAAACAATGCTGGAATTTTTATTGCCATGATGAACATGTTCTGTTCCTATAGACACCCAACACAATGACCAGGACACATGACACACTGGGGAAATGCTAGTTGCATTTAGTCTTAACGGAAAGATACATGTTTTTTGTAACGTAAATGTAAATATACATGGCCCATTTCATCACGCTTCTATTCAAATAAAATTCATGCATGATACAATGTTGCACAAAAACTCTGGAAAGTGCGAGAGAACACTGACGGAGCAGGTTCGTGCCTATGTGCACGAAGCTGCACTCAAAAACATCCATTAGAAGGAGCAAAGGCGCTACACGTGGACATCCGGTGAAAGAATATGAAAGAAATACGCACGCGCAGTAGTTTGGCAAAAGTGCGCGAGTATCAAAGCAAAGGGCAGTATTGCACACGGCACAAGAATTACACGCACACAGAAATTCGATATATGATATACAATAATTACACTTCACTACAGTACATTGTCAAAACACATACTGACGACATGTGTAAGCCGCCTTGAAAGGATTGGTGGCCCGCAGACTTAAATTGAGAGCTATATAGTCACACCGGATTCGTGAACAATAGCAAGGCAAAGACCCCATGCCATCCTGATATCAATGTTGCGTGAAAGTGTTGCTTGGAAGAGCATGCAAGAAAGAACCATTTTGGAACGAACACTGGGCAGAGATGGTTAGCAACGATACAGTGAGGCGAAGGGCATCAAAGGATATCAAAGGTGCGCGTCACAACTCTTGGCTGACGCGCGGCCCACGGCTTGAACAAAGGATTTAGGCTCCAAGAGCCAACTGCTACCAACCGTCACCAAGTGAACAGGAAACCCGAAGCCAAAAGCCTCCATCCAAACAATGTGCGAAGGAATGCGAAGGATGACAACCTTGCAGAAACATGAAGATCTTAGCACTATCTAAGTTATGCCACAAAGAGAAGTCGGCCTCTCAGAAGGAAGAATGGAAACTAGACTACCAAGAACACAATAATCGAACACACGCACACACACAAAACGCACAAAAACACACACACACACAAACACCCACACACATACACACATACACAGACGCTCAGGACTGGTTTTGAATGTAATTATCCAAGTTGAGTCGGTAGCGTCGAAGTGTCCAATCTTGCTACACGGTTCAACAACTGTTTCAACTTTAGAAAGCCCCCCCTGGCGAACCACAGCAGGTGGTCCAAGTCGAAACAGGTACATTGGTACAGAATGGTGATGTACCCTACGTGTTGTGACCGCATAAGCCAACAGTGATACATGCACTTAGAACCAGATGTGGCATGACGGAGCGTCCCTAGCGGGTACGTGTACACTGTCAATGACGGTCTCCGTTGCATATTCATACCACGCCCTGTGTAAGAAGGGTGCACACACACACAGAGACACAGAGACACACGCCCCCACATGCCCACACGCTCACACGCACACAGCACGTGCGACAATGGTTGACACAAGTTCAGGCGTCGTTTTTGGCAGAACGGTTCAAGCCAATGAACTTGTTTCAAACCCGCTCTATTTACACCACTACGGGAAAACACAAGAAGGCAAAACGATCATAGACATTGGACATGCAAATGCAAAACATGTAAATAGAGGATTGTATGCCTTGTGTACGCGTGGTCGTGTGTGAGCATGCAGGTATATGCTACCTAGACCTGTAAAGAGCTTACAGAACACGCAGGCTATGAGCGTGTGCTTCCATGATCTACGCGAAGAAGATGCCGAACTGCGAGACTCGGAATTGTATAGATATTGGATTAATACAGTACAATAGTACCAGAGTGAAACAGTCTGGTGTGCCAGTTTGGCAATTCCAGTAAGAAATAGGAAGAATAGAGTTGCAATGAGTTGCATGTAAGCTTGTGTTGCATATATAACTGCATTCACACAGGTAGATAAGCCGGGTGTGATTCCATGCTGTCATGTCGTAACGGTCCTAGAGCGCCTGGCTGTGAATGAACCTTGTTTCACTTTTAGTGGCAGCAAGATGCAGCAAGTCAACAGGATCCTGCCGAGATTCAAACATGGATACAAATTGATACAAACATGTATCATCATGTATCTACCTAAAAAAGCAACGGCTCAAACAGAATGCACCTTTCAAAAGAAAGGCTTGCTCACAGAGCTCGCGCTTGAATCTGGGCTACCAAGCTTCAATGTGCAACAAGAAGTTGTTGAAGAAAGGGACCTTTCAAGATAGTTTCACCCAGTGGTATTGCGATTGATGCAAAACGTCTGGGCCGTGGCGGCTGTGGTGTCCAAAGCAAATGAACCGAAAGGACTGAACCAATCTGGAGCAGTCAAGGGCCCAATGCCTTCACTAACAGAATCTGCATCATGAAACAGCAGCGCCGAGAATCATGGCAATCTTTGAGTGAAACACATGAAGCCATCGTCTGCAAAATATGAAGCCGTTGCTTGAAGCAAATAATTCCACTGGCGTGTGGGCCCATTGATTTGAGACAAACGCCAGAATGCTAGGTTGATTTCGCGTATATAGACCCTGCTCGGGATGCTATGCTCAACATACTCTTTTTAAAAGTCTTCTCTGTGCCTGGCTGCTCAAAAGAAGACAAAACACACTTGTGCATAGCTGGCATACCTCTGGGATGTTTGCAGTGTTTTCCCAGGAGACCTTCTTGAAAACACCTGGGCCTCCGAACTTTGCGAAGCCACGGGAGGTTTACAACTGTGCAAACTTCTGCTTGTAGCTGGGCACTGGCAGCGCAACCAAACAACCGCATCTTCTGGAAACGAGTTCAATTTACTAAGCCAACTATTGACTACTGCTGAACAAGACACTCATAATCTATGAACTTTGCCTTCTGAAGTCAAATTCATCTCCTGTTGGAAAATCTAAACGCAGTCACACGTCCAAGACTCTGTACGCCTCATGTCTTTCTGAAGCTGCTGGTGCGTTATGAAATTGCATTGGTGCCGATTCTGCAAGAAGAAAGTTCTCAAACCTCAAGGGCACATGCACTGCGACGCAACCCCCAGACGAAAATAGATGAAATGGCGCACAAATGATTGAAATAGCTACTTTGCCACCCTGGCCCCTTTTCGAATGTTTTCAACATTCTGCATGTCTCTGCTTGTATATGTAGATGTGAACATGTGGGCAAATAAATGCATTCAAAATCACTTAGATGTAATATTCACACGAACACCGTAGCAACACACGCTAAAACATATGCCTACATAGAAAACGCCCACATAAAGTGCACGCACATGTGTTCGTAATATGAATATGCAAATGCATGTGTTTATGGATGTGTGCATGTGCATGTGCATGTATACAAGCATTTGCCTTGAAACATGTTATGTACCCACATGTGTGTATATAAATATATATATATGCATATGTAAATATAATATAGTATATATATATGTATATAATCATATAAAGTAATTATATAATTTCTGAGGACACGGGGTCCCTGAATGTCAGCACATGTCACAACGATTCACCTTGAACATTGAATTTAATTTTTCGTTTTCAAAGGCCGACTGCCACATGTCAGACAAAAACATGTTGATCAGCACTTGGTTCAGCTTGAGAAACGCTTCCGCAGTTCGGTCGGCAATCCTTTCTCGCTCATCATTTGATTGAGGTGATGCCTCCACTGAACAAACCAACAGGGCTACACCACAGCCACGGCACAACTGATTGGTTTGCCAAAACATGTGCGTACCAAGATCACCCTTGCAGTCTAATGAGTGGAGCTGGGTCGTTGAATTTTGTCGCGCATCCTCCATGCTACCAATGCTACCAGCTGTGGATATCTGTTGACAAGAAACATCAAGAAACCATTACATAAGTGCAACGAAACAAAACACAAGCAAATGCCGACCAGTTGAGTTCGATTGCGCAGTCAAACCTTTGTCAGACCATTGTCATATTTTGATATGTTTTGTGACAACCCATAAGCAAATAATGTCAGCCAAAGGAACATCTTTTGTCTGAACGCTTGCTTCGCGGAGTTCATCTCAGCCCTGAGATTGATGGGATGGTTAAATTTGATGAAATGTGTAGAAAAAACGGCATGTTTTTCCCCCGCTCATGTTGGGGGCATTGGGTCTTGTAGGTTTCAAACCAGTGCCGTGTCCTCATCCTTCTCCTTATTCTGCACATTTTTCCTCCTCGCTCTCCTGCGGATTCCTCCTTTGCCATTTTTTTGCCCAAATTTGTGCCTATCCAGCCCTGACAACATCTGACCAAATCTACGCCTCAATCTATTAAATTAATCCAAAATGCCGCAGAAGCAATGGCCAAATCCGGACAAACAATTTATATGAATATGTTCAAAAACAACTCATAGTTTGCCAAGAGATTGCCAACGGCTGAAACTGCAGAACCTAAACATCTGCGCCCAGAGGGCGGCAACTGGGCACATGGTTGCCACAGAACAATTTTTCTCGTTATTGAATGGTGACATTGCCTAGCTTTCCTTCAAATAGGGGCTCGATTTCCTGAAAAGTGGAACGTTTTTTTTGGGGGACAGTTTTGGGCAATGTTAATTTGTGAAAACGAAAAATATGCATTTCGACCCAGGTCGCTAGTTTGGCCGCAAGAAGAAACAAAACTAATGGTCACAATATCCTGGCAACAATTCCCTCCAACGCTTCCTGGATAGGATGAACAATGAAACAAGTCCAGCATTGGAGTCGCAAATAGAAAATCAAACGGATAGATAGACACCTCTATAGACTCTATTGTTCTTGCCGCCAAGTATCACAATTGCACACACTTCACCGAGAACGCCTCAATACTACCCCATCGCTACAACACCGCGCAGTCCCTGCGTCCAAAACCAAATAGAAGGGGCAAAAACATCTGTCGAGTAGCTTTGTGCTTAATATTGGTCTAAAATTAAGATAATCTAAGGTTTCTTGTGGCACCAATTTCGGCTGTGGCGCCTTCCTTTTTGAACGATTTCTTACCAAAATTTGGTATAGAAAAAAAAGATTCTCTCAAAGAATCTGATGGCCCAACCACGCACCCTGTTTCACACTGGGCAAATTGCGATCTTGAACCAAAAGTAATGGTCATGGGAACCCTTTAAGTTGACCCTGACCGGCTGGATGTTTGGCAGATGTTTGAATTAGTCAAAACAAGTGGACATGTATTAATGTCAGTACGGGCAAACTGCATTCCAGGGTCAATGTACTTTAATATGACCTCTTGCAGTGGTTATGAATTCCAGTCTGCATTGATTGCTATGGAAGCACTTGTTGGTGATACTACATTGCGCTACACTGCACTACTTGAGGAGGCATTTTACTTGTAATCTTTCTTCTCCCCCTTTTGGCGTTGGACACCTGTACAGACTTGGATGGTGTGATGACCTGGCTGCCACAGAGACCCAATGGTTGCGGTGCACAAGTGCATCTCGCTCCCAATGGTTCTGTAGATGGCAGATCAAAACATCTCATCCTTACATCCAGACAGACAAGACCGACTGGCTGTACATAAGGCAACCTATAGGAAGATTATGGACTACGTAGATACCTGAACATTTAGTTGTTACAAAGCTTCCGGCCATTTTGCCACAGGGAGTGGCTTGGTGAACGGATCAGCTCTTTGCATTGCAGTCTTGATGTAGAGCAACAGGCAATCGTCATTTTCTTTGAAGACTTCATGGATTGAACCTATATTTATGCGGAAAGTTTTATTGAGGTGTCGGAGTTTGGGACTATACCCGGCAGCAACAATTTGGATAACCGCGGGGTTATCTTGATAACACACAAGTTCAACCTGTCTACCAAGAATCGTCTCTAAGAGCTCTTGCATAGGCAGCGCTTCAAGAAACAACCTTGCACCTATCGACACCATTTCGGCTTCTGTCGTGCTGCGTGCAGTTGACGTCTGCTTGCGGCTAGCCCATGAGAGTGGGCACCATGAATGTGGACCTTCCAACGTCATGATCATGCCGCTTGTTGATTTAGTATCCGCTTGTGCAGAACAGTGATCGGCATCTGTGTAGCAACACAAACGCAACAACTCTGGTGGGTCCCCTATGTAAGCTTTGAGAGTGAATTTTCTTGATTCATAAAGGTAACTCATTAATCTGTGGAGGCGCTTATCATCTGCGACACTCCAACACGCCAGTCTACGTGTAAGATCTGAAATAGCTTTGTTGAGATCAGGCCTTGCCAATCTGGCACACCACAATACTTTCATAAGTACGCGAGATGCTTCTGCTGACAATGAACCCTTTACATCCCAATCGGAATCAGTTAAACTCCCGTCATTGACGTAAGGTGAAGCTGCTGGCTTTAGCTTACGTTTGCTAAGCGTCTCATACAGTTCACAACAGTTATCAATGAACTCGGTCATTTCGAAGGCACAAGTTGTTCCTTCCTTGCTTCTTGAAATGCTATGCTCTCGGCCGAGGATTCGGCTGACTTCAGCTGGTTCATCCAGCTCCACGTGGCGCTGCATTTCATCCCAAAAAACCTTGTGCTGTGATGAGGGCCCAGATACCACTACATCGTCTACGTAAAGACTCAACAGAAGTTTATATTTTGGGATCCAGAAGTTACTTTGGAAGGTACCGATATGTTTTGCATCAAAGTATATCATGACTTCTCTAAACCTCATATCCCAATGATGCCCTGCCTCTGGATGGCCATACAACGACCGCCATAGTCGGACACATGGTCGCTTGATATGTTTGAACTCATCAGGAACCAGTTCAGGACTCAGCTCTACCCAAGTTGGTACTTTTGTTCCCAACCATGATTGAAGGTAAGCACGGACAACATCTGATTGCGTTGTTTTGTGGCCTGGCAAACTTCCATAAGCAAGGTTGGCATTGATGCCAGCCATACCCGTAGGGTTCACTTTTGATTCCAACAAAACCGCAAGATTTCCTTCATTGTCCCTTATGTCATCCCCTCTAAACGCTATACGGGCTTTAAGCTTCCTAAGAGCTGGGGTTTCCCAATGTTTGACTGAGAGAATTGTCATGATTCTACCTATATTGATGTGCTCTTTGCGTTTCATGAGCTCGTCTCTAGGCACAACTTCATCATAGTTCCAAGTACCATTCTCCAAGACACCATCCCGTTCTTTCTTGATTGCATCAAGATAACCTTCATGCTTGTGCCACTCCTTCCTGTCGATCAGGAGGTGGATACCTGCATCAACTTCAACGGCTGTCGGCTGATGATGTGGTTCTGACTGCATGGGTTTAACAGGCATTGAAGGTACTACCTCGGGGTACAAGGAATGACTAATGCATTGCGCCATTTCATCAGTATAGAATGCAGACTTTGGTGTTTTGGAACCTGCCAGGTGCGAATGCTTGTAATCCGGTGGATGGCTGCATTTGTACGCATCAAGGTTTCTTGCCAGCTGATACGGACTTGTTACGGTCCTCCAAGGTTTATAATGGGGGTTCCCCTCATTATCCTTGAAACCGAATGCACATCCGTCTGGCTCGGCGACAAACAAATCATGCTTCTTAATGAACTTCACAAGCTCTGGAATTGACCAGCCAGAGCATCCTCTGGGCCACTCAAAGCACACATGTCCTCCATCTAACAAAACCTGCTCTGCGCAGCGAACGTAGTTTTTCAGGATTTTCATGGACTTCTTACGTGCGGCTTTGAGCCTCTTTGCATACCCTTTACCACCTTTAGCAAGATTCACGTCCTGCCAGCGGGACCATGGGCCGCAAGGAATTGAACCCCAAAGGTCTGCACCTGGGAACTGTTTTATGACTTTCAGCAAGTCTCGTACTTCTTCATCATTGGCCATGTCCGAAGACTTTTCTGTCAAACGGAAGTGATCGATGTTTCTTTCCTCATTGGCTTTGCCAAGTGCGGAGTCTTCTGAACAACAAAATTCAAACATGACTTTGGAATTCGACCCTCTAGCTTTCCTAGCTTTGGACGGCTTAACCTGTTCGACGCCTCTGACAGCTTGCTGGATTTCTGCAGCAAGATTCGGATGATCCAGGCTTGCACTAGCTAAGAAATGCTCACTCCTTTTGACGAACCTTTTGGAGGTTTCATCGGATCTGGCTATGTTGGCTTGGCATGCTTGTACTTTTGCATGATCATGGTCTACCCTTTTATTTGGGAAAAACCATGTCGCCCCAATCCAACTTTTAGAAGAAATCCTTTGGTGTGGATGTACTTGCCAATTATCTTTATAAATTAAACCGAAACAACACCTTTGCATTTCCATTCTGTGACACGTTGTGGACCGATTTCATCAGCACTGAAATAGGGCAGTCCTTACCAACAGGAGCATAGAGTCTTTTTCGGGGTCTAACATGATTCATTTTCGATGCTGACTTAAGATCATTATATTCCCAAAAATCCCCAGGGTTACTATCATCTGAGCTTCTCCCATGGTCTTGCTCCCCCGGTGCGGCGTGGCAACTGGCAAAGAATGCTTCGACTTCCAAGGAGTTTTGTGGATGTGGCGCACAAGTGCGACTCACATCCTGCTCAAGTGACGGCATTGCTGGAGTTCTTGGTGCTCCAACCGGCGTGTCTGGTGCAGGCGTATCAGGAACTGAACTTCCCCTAGCGGAGGCTTCTTTGGCCATGCGATCCTCTTGCAACAGAGTGCGAAACCTCTCATGGCAGGCATCTGAGTGAGGAACGCCCTCAGCAATACGGTCACAACCCTTACACCCAATTGCTTTACCATACTTGATTGCACGTTCCAGTGTCACATACGTCTTACGGTTGCGAACAGCTGGAGGCGGGGCTGGCCCTTCGAAAGGCAAGGCTTCTCGCTCGGCAATGGGTGGCACCTTGACTGAAGGTTGGAACAGATTCAACTTTGCAACTGATGCTTCATACAGAGGAAAAATAAAGTCCCCTTCGGATGGTTCAACCAACTCTGTGGGATACACTTGGATAGGTCGGCCAAACCCTTTTGATTTTGTTCGGAGGTTTTCATAGTCCAGGATTAGAGGAACATTTCTATGCACAAAACCCGCATCAACCCTCCATCCCACGAATATACCAGGAAAAGTTCTCGGACTAAAAACTGGCAATGCTCTATGTTTTGGGGGTTTATAATAGACCAAGGCACCCAACGGAATTCTCAGGCCTGTGAATGGCGAACCGCCATTTGCAGCTTCATAGCATGTAAGCATGGACTTTTCCGTCTTGACCTCATCCCTCTCATTTGGGTGTATTGGCGCAAGAGTGCTAAAGCTACGTGCTACACAGAAGTACTCAACACTTCTGGGCCACAAGTCATGAGAAAAACCTGCCTTAAGGTGGATTGACCTCACACCTTCTTTAATGGATCTAATGAGACGTTCTAGTTTGGCATTATGATAATCATCATTTGGTATTCCTGGATCAGGTAACCAACCCAGATATTTAACCGCTTCGACCAATTCTGTTGCGCAGTCAGTTTTGATGTTGCACAGGGCCTTGCCGTGTGCTCTGGTTCCGCCGAAGTTTTGCAGTGCCGCGATGTTGGCGTCAGTGGTTCTATTTGTTTGAGGGAATCCCTGCAAAGCCCCACTATACTCATCGCAACAAACAAGACATGCCCTTTCGCCCTCTGAACCTTTAGTTAGATCTTCCCCCAAGATTGTGTGGTCTGCACGAAGTTGATGGCCATAATGAAGTGGTGGAGCCTCTTCAGGGTCTACCTCAAGGTTCCTTTTTCTATGGTACCTAGCTGTCATCTTGGCCCTACGGCAAACTTCACAGTATCTATTTTTAGGGAAATTGAAATGGGTTAAGGCATGTTTGAAAGTTTTGGATTCGGCTTGCAACTTGTCT